GGATAAATTAGGCGAGAGTTTAGAGGGAAATAGGAGGTGAGGTAGGCGCTAAACTGATAGAAAGGTAGGAAGAATAACTTAAATTTAGGACAGGATAATAGATGTAGTAGGGAAATATTAAATAGTGAAGGAAAAGAGCGCTAAATGTGTTAAAGAGAGGAAGAGGTTAGGTGAGAGAAGGCGGGAGAATAACGACAATAACGTTGTGTGTTCCAAAAGAGAGTGAGATTTGCGTTACGCATAGAGTAGGTAGCGACATTATGCCCGATCTACAATAAGAAGTTGATCCGTCTACATTACGTAGAGTAAGCCTAAATTTAGTATTAAGAGAGGCGTAAGGAGTAAGAGTAAGGACGTAAGCGAAATGAATAATTTCCATTAGACGGAACAGTCTAGGCATATAGGCAGCGGTTAAGGCCTATCTACATAAGACGCAGAACACGAGTCGCAAGTCAGACACACACACGCAAGAACACACACGCACAGTCTACATGTCAATCTAACAAACAGGTTAGATTGACATGTAGACTGTGTGTGTGCTTGCGACTCGCGTTCTGCGTCTTATGTAGATAGGCCTTTAAGGAGATTGACTAGAAGAAGAGCACGCACGAGTGACGTACAGGATGGAGGGAGAGGCAGGCGAGAGTGAGAAGGTAGTAAAAAGGAATAAAGATGTGAATTTGGCTACAAATTTGGATAGTTTAAGTAGTGAGAAAACGGGTAAAGAAATTTTTGCCACACCAAAAGAAGAAAAAAGAGGAAAAGGAAGACTTACAAAGCAGGAGTTAAGAATGAGAGAAAGATCGAGCTCGACCAGCATACTGGAGTATGTGAGAAGTGAAAATAGTAGGGCATGTAAGCTAGCGAAAGCTAAGAGGAAAAGAGAGGAAAAAGAACAACTTGCGGAGGAAATTTTAAAGAGAGGTAACAAGACTGTGAGAACGCCGCCAGGAATAGACAAATCGAAGGAAGGAGTCGGTGCTGCAGGTAAGAAGAGAGAAGAGGAAGGAGATTTGTCAGTAACAAAGAAGAATGAAGAGGATGGTTCGTTGTTAGCAATCCTGAGAGACGAGATGAGGGACCTGAGGGACGAGATGAGAGAGAGGATGAGTGTCTTATTGTTAGAAGAGGGATGGAAAAAAAGAAGAAAGGATAGAGGAAAGGATGGATAAGCTAGAAGGGAGACTATCGAAGATCGAACAAAGGAGTGAAAACATAACGGAAGAGGCGACCGGCGGCAAAATGGAAGAGATTGTGGGAAAGGTGGCAGAGATGGTTAGGAAGAGAGAAAAAAATATGAAGGAAAGGAAGGAAAAGAAAAATAATCTAGTGATCAGAGGATTACATAAAGAGGAAAACAAGAGCTTAATGGACACAGCGGAGACGTTTCTTGAGAGGGAGTTTGGTGCAAAAGCGGGAGTAAAGAAGATGCGGTCAACAGGCAAAGAAGGAAGAGAGATAGTAATAGTTGAAATGGACTGCTGGGAATCGAAGGATAATATCATGAAGGAGAAGAAGAAGCTGGGAAGTAAGAGAATTTTCATTGATCACGACCTGACCTTTGAGGACAGAGAAGTGCAAAGACGGATAAAAGAGCAGGCATGGAAAAAAAAACAGAAGGAAAATGGGTGAAAATAGGTTATAGGAAGCTAGAGGTACAAGGTAGGAAGTATGTATGGAGCGAGGAAGAAAATAAGCTAATAGAAAAGAAAAATGTGTGGAGCGAGGAAGCAGGAAAACTAAGAGAAAATAAAAATTTCTAGATGGTTGCTAAGTTAGGAGAAGAAAACCAGCAAGTTATGGCATTCAAGATGACAATAGGCAAACAACATGAATGGAGGTCGGAAAGGTGAACCAGCTGAAGAATGAAAATAGGCGAAAGATAATTTTTTGGAATGTAGCGGGTATCGAGAGGCAGGACAAAGATTTTTGGAATTACATAGTAGGTTTCGATTATATTGGGTTATGTGAAACATGGTAAGAGGATAAGGGATGGGATAGAATTAAGGGTAGACTGCTGGAAACGCACAGCTGGAAAAACATTAACGCTGTAAGGGAAAAGAGGAAGGGTAGGGCGAAGGGAGGTTTACTAATAGGTATTAGAAAAGATTGGGGGTCAGAAGTGGAGAAAAATGAAAGTGTAATGATTATAGAAAGTATTGCGCGAACGAGAATAGTAAAAGAGGAAAAAGGACTAAATATTTTTACAGTATATAATGTAAGAGCAAAGAAAGATGTAGAAGAGATAATGGCGAAAATAATAGAGCAATGCGAAGGATGCGAAGGAGAGGATATTATTATAGAAGGCGACTTTAATATTAGAATAGGAAACTTAGGAGGGTGCAGGAAGGATTAATATGACTTTGAAAAGGAGAGTAAAGATAAAGTCATAGGAGATGGCGGTAGAAGTTTTGTGGATATGATAAATGAAAAAGGATAGTATTTTTTGAATGGATGTATAGAGGGGGATTGGGATGGGGAATATACGTATGTGGGTGCGAGAGGGTGCTTGGTAATCGATTATGCAATTGTAAACGATAGTGCGCAAGAACGAGTGTTGGAATTTAGAATAGGGGACAGGGTGGACTCGGATCATTTACCTCTGACCTTGTTACTGGAGGAAGAGGAGAATACGAGATAAATAGAGGGGTGGACAGAAGAGGAAGAAGAGGAACAGATTATGGCAAAGCAGATCATATGTTGGGACGAAGAGGCAAGGAAATTATACAGGGAGAGGACGGAGGTATGGAATGAAAACGAGGACCAGGAAATAGAGTCGGTGGATAGGAAATGGGAGAAAATAAAAAACTGGGTCCTTGGAGCCTTAGTTTATAAGGAAGTCAAGATAAAGAAAAAAAAGGAAACTAGGGCACAAAGATTGGTGAGATAGGAGCTGCACCAGAAAGAAGAGGGAGGTGAAAAGAAAGTACAGAAGATGGAGAAGTGGAAAGGGAAGTAAGGAAGACTATTTGGAAGGAAAGAAATGCCTGAAGGGGTGGTTAAAGAGGAAACGGATGGAGAAGAGAGAGAAGGAAGAAGAGGAATTAAGAAATTTGAAGGACGAAAAGAAAATTTGGAACTACATAAACAGAAGAAAGAAGAAAGAATGGAAAGAGAATAATATTCCGAAAGAGAACTGGAGAAGTTACTT